GAATATTAGCCTTTAATGTTGTTTTTCAAGTTTTAAATAGGACTAGCACGGTCCTTGATTTAATAACAATTCTTTTGGAGGCAGCTCCAATACAAACTTGTACAAAAAGAATTTTAAATCAAATATACTATTTATATATGCAATATATGATTTGAATTTTCCCTGAATTCCATGAAAAGTTGAAAAAGTGCACTGTAAAACGAAAACATACAAACAGTAGTAAAATGTGAATATCTTTCAAAACAACAATCTTAAAGGTCTCATATTATGGAAAAGGGGTGTTGCCTTGTCAGAGTCAACTAAGACAGCATAACGTTGCCATTAGGCCAAGGGTGGTGTCTGAAAAACTGATTAACCCTTGGAGATGTACAATCAGACTGGTGCCATCAGAATTCTACCACTCTCTGACCATAGCCATTGTGACATCTTTCAAATGTTGAGGTGTCAAACTATCGGTGCCTGGAAGCTCCCGACCTTGTCCTCTGCGTTGCTTCTCAGTTGTCCTCTGATGTCGATCTAGTACCTTGGATTCAGCTAATTAATACTCAAAGAAACACTGGAAACAGGCAGAATCCAATGCAATCAAGTTTAATGTGTTCACAAGCTTCAACACATACAACTCATGAGTCAAGCCCCGGAGCTGGACTGAAAACTCGCTCTTCGTGCGCTCGCTTTTATGCTGGTGGAGACTGGATAGAGTCACCAACCTCTTTTTATTAGTCCTTCCCACTCAGGCCCGTTTTTAATGGTGTAATCACTTTCACTTTGAGCCTGGAATTTCCCAAATCTCCCATCCTTAGCTTTGGATTTGCTTTCACTTTATTTTTAAAAAACATGTGAATCTTAGGGACTTTCTTTATGCAGTCCCTTGTGCTCTTATGCAATGTGAACCTTTAAATGTGCATCAGGTAATACAAACATTTGAATGTGTGTGTTATCATTAAACAGAACATGTTAGGTTATATGTGTGTTTCTTCAGTGTGTGAATACTATGTGTGTTTCTTCAGTGTGTGAATACAATGTGTGTCTTCAGTGTGTGAATACAATGTGAGCTCATAACTTTGTATTGTGAACACTTTGACATGTATAACAATGCTTTAACACATATAGATGCATCTCAATCAGTTTTATAGGAACTTATACATAAGACATGGTTATATGATGGTTATATGGCTTTTGTTTCTTAATCAATTTATGCAGTATATGCAGTATAACACTTGTACTTGATTAGGGATTAACTTTTACACTACATTGTCCAGTTCTCAAAATTCTAAGGTAGAATTCTAAGAAAACACTACAAAAAACTTTCACCAGAAAGGGTTAACCAAGCTGTTCAGAAATAGTCCCCCTTGTGATGTCATACATGGAAAGAAGCAATTATCCATAACCTAAAATGTGCACAGTCCAATATAGAGCTGGAGATGCTGTCTAACCAATGGCTTGTTTGAGGGTGAGATTAAAAATAAAATTACATTAAAATAAAATACAAAAATAGATTAAAACTTTTTTTTAAAGTCCAATAGACTCATGGGAATCACATAAAGTTGGCGAAATTATAAAAATGAGACCTTCAAGTTCCTTAACCTTTTGAGGTTCAAACCAGCATTTGAAAAACCCCCCCAAAAAAACTCACTACTCAAAGGGTTAAAACCATTAAGTATTGAAGAGGTGTGACTTAAATACAGCTCAACAAGTCTGGCACTCAACAGACTAAAGTGCCTTCTCAGATAGAATACATTATCAAAAGATACACTGCAGTAGAAAAGATGAACCAGGAAGTTATTGCATTCTAAGTGAAAGGCCCTTAAACCTCTGGGGTCCTTTAACACAACCCTGCAACAATGGTCAAAGAAACTTTTTAGTTTTTCCAACAGACTAACAGTTTCAACCTCACTATGTGTATAGCTTACATACAGTAGATCAATCAATCAATCAATTTTATTTATAAAGCCCAATATCACAAATCACAATTTGCCTCACAGGGCTTTACAGCATACGACATCCCTCTGTCCTTATGACCCTCGCAGCGGATAAGGAAAAACTCCCCAAAAAAAACCCTTTATCGGGGAAAAAAACGGTAGAAACCTCAGGAAGAGCAACTGAGGAGGGATCCCTCTTCCAGGATGGACAGACGTGCAATAGATGTCGTACAGAACAGATCAGCATAATAAATTAACAGTAATCCGCATGACACAATGAGACAGAGAGACAGAGAGAGAGATGCAGGTAATAACAGTAGCTTACAACAACATTATTGAAAGTAATAATATTATAGTTATAGTTCTGGCTACTGTGGTACAATATGTTTAAAGTATGTATTAATATCTGGC